AAGAACACCAGCTGAGGACTGCGTTTCTCCCCCCTGCCATAGTGTGCGTTTGTGGCTCTGAGCCATGCTTTCTGCCTGGTCCTGGCATCACCATGTGTGCCTCCACCATATGCTGGTCCTGTATCTGGGTTAATCTCTCCCTCTTTTCTTGGTGTGCCACTGCAGAAGAGGCACCATGTGAGAACAGGGTGTGCCAGAATGGTGGGAGGTGCCAGGCAGTGAACAGGACAGCGGAGTGCTTGTGCCAGCCAGGGTACACGGGAGTGGACTGCCAGACAGGTAGGTGGCAGGAGCAGACATGAGGGCTAGATGGTGACACTTCATGCATTGGCAAGCTGCTTTCCCACCATGGTTTTGTTGGGGAGGACTTGGTGTTGATGGTGGTGCTCACTTCTTTTTTTTTCCCTGGCCACTGTATTCCCCCTCCTGAGCATTGTCCAGAATGGTGAGCCATCTGCATAGCAGTGCTTGTGTGCATGGCCTGACCACCCTTCTTGGCCTCTATTTACAGAGGTGAATGAGTGTGAGTCCAACCCATGCCTGAATGGTGGGCACTGCATTGACCTGGTTGATAACTACACCTGTGTGTGCCTGGAGCCCTTCGTGGGAAAGCGCTGTGAGACAGGTGCCTGCTCTTGCCTGTGCCCTGGGATGACCCTTCCCAGGGACTTTCCCCCTCTATGCTCTGCTGGCCATCATGGCCCCTCTCTCAGAGTTGGGCTCTGCTCATCACTCACTTGCTTTCCCCTGCCAGACTTGTCTTCCTGTGAGGACCGTAGCTGCCGGAACCGGCAGACATGCAACTACATCCGCCCTGGCCGTTATATCTGCACCTGTTCCCCGGGTTATTATGGCAACAACTGCCAGTATGGTGAGTGCAGGTGTGCCTTGCTCAGCTCAGCATACAAGCTGGTTCTGGGAGAGCTGAGTGGGAAGGGGCAAATGGCTAAGATGGGGCTATGTCACCCATAGGTGCCACGGGAATCTAGTGGGCAGGGTGTGCAGAAGGGTCGTGGTGTTGCTGGGAGAGTGCTGCTCGGCTATGGTGGGGTCTCTGGTGTGAATCTGGGCTAGACCAGGTTCCCCCAGGATAGAGGGTGTTCCAGCCCGAGGCTCTGGCTGAGCCTTCCTCTTCCCTGCAGGTGGGCCCCGTGTACCTGGTGCCTGCCTCTCCCACCCATGCCAGAATGCAGGTAGCTGCCTGGAGACGGAGCAGGGCTACATCTGTGAATGCCAGGAGGGCTACACTGGGCAGGATTGTCAAGACAGTGAGTACCAGGGAGTCTCTCTGATGGAGTGTGGCATTTCTAGGAGAGCCCTAGCAGAGGTCTCCAGGGAGAGATTGTTCAGGGCTCCTGGACTGAACAGCAGATCTGTACTGCTGAAGGAGGCTGCACCTGGGTGTCTGGGGGAGTTTGTGGCTGCCACCCACCTGAGTTCACCCAATGGGTGGCATCCAGCAAGAGTGCTTGGCTGTCCCAGCCTTTCAAATAGGGAGGGTCCTGAGAAGCTCCCATCTCCTCTCTTGCAGAGCTCTCGGAGGGCTGTGAGTGTCGCAATGGGGGCAGTTGTTTGGAGGGGAACATCACCATCTGCCAGTGCCTGCCTGGGTTTTTTGGTCTCCTTTGTGAATTTGGTAGGTGAGGGCTTCTTGCTCACTATGTTTGCTCCCTCTCTGGTATGCTTGAGCCAGACAGAGTGTGGACAAGCAAGGAGACTTTCTCCCTATGCCTGAGTCTCGCACAGTAGCAGGGGCATGCGCTGAATTTGAGCCTCTAAATGTCATCCCCTGGTGAGGAAACAACATTTATTTCCATTTGTACACCTAGCCCCTGGCCCCAGCCCAGCTCCTCTGGGTGGAGAGGGAACCACAGCTCCCAGCGTGCTCCTGCTCCAAAGCTCACTGGGCATCTAGGCTGGCCCCTGCTGTTTGCTTGATCTGTGGTGTAGGGTACAGAGGGTCCCTACTGTTTCATCAGACCATGTAAAACGAGGAGACATCCCTGTTTCTGACTGGCTGGGTGTCTTCCTGCTGCCATCTGACAGAGGCTACCACTGGCTATGTGTTTGCAGAAGTCACCACTACACCATGCAACATGAACACACAGTGCCCGGATGGTGGGTACTGCATGGAGTATGGTGGGAGCTACCTCTGCGTTTGCCACACAGACTACGGCACCAACCACAGTAAGTATTACCTGCAGGGATGCAGGACCAGCCCTGGGGAGCGACTTGTGACAGCCTGAGGGAGCGAGCAGGGGAATCAGCCAGGAAGCGGCCCTCACACCCCTGGTCATACATCCTCAGTGAAGCTCTGTGTTTGGCTTTGTAGCAATGCCATCCCCCTGTGACTCGGAGCCCTGCCTGAATGGTGGGTCTTGTGAAGTTCATGATGATTCATACATCTGTGACTGTCCTCGAGGCTTCCTTGGCAAGCACTGTGAGAAAGGTACCTGCATGGACCTCTCTGCCATCCCCACAACCTGGCACTGGGTGGGAGAGTAGCTTGAATCATCGTGAGAAATGAGCAGCTCTTTGCTGAACTGCAGCTGGAAGTAGGTGCAGGTTATCTCATCCCATCCCATAAGGTAGAGGGAGGATTGCATAACTCCCTTAACAGCTGCTGACAGTCATAGCAGCCAATCCAGTAGTTGTGTTTCCTGCACACCACCATCAGTGCTGGAACTTTGGTGGTTTTTTTTTTCACTTGCCTGAGCTTCTGGCTCATAAGCAGCTGCCAGTTCCCTGGCATCATGTGCCAGTGGCCCCCCTTGATGCCCCGGCATGCGTCTGCATGTATGTTATTACATAGTGTTGCTGAGTGCAGGGTGGTGAAACCTGGGTGTGTTTGGTTTTCAGGCAGTGAGGTGTTTGGTAGAGTGCTGGCTGGAGGTGGTGGCTCTTGGATTGCTAGCAGCAGTGGGTGACCCCTGCTCTTGGTGTTCTCTCTGCAGCTAAGCCACGGCTCTGCAGTACAGGGCCCTGTCGCAATGGGGGCACCTGCAGGGAGGCAGATGGCGAGTACCACTGCACCTGTCCGTACCGCTTCACCGGCAAGCACTGTGAGATCGGTATGGCCCCCTGGCCCCCACCCGGGGACAAGAGGCAGCAGTCGGTCCGACTTGTTGCTCAGCTCCTGCCTGCCCTCTGCCCCCAGGTAAGCCAGACCCCTGCACCTCGGGGCCCTGCCAGAATGGGGGTACCTGCTTCCACTACATCGGCAAATACAAGTGTGACTGTCCGCTGGGCTACGCTGGCCGGCACTGTGAGATTGGTAGGTGTGAGCAGAGCATGCTAGTGCCGGGTGCTGTCTGGGGAGGTGTTGGGGCTGCTGGCAGAGCTGACAGCCTAAGTGGCAGCAAGCAAACCTTACTGCTTGTTTTGAACCACTTTCCCTATAATTTAAAGTGCTTTTTGTCTCTTCCTTGCAACCTGCTGGAGGGCAGGGGAGTGCTGCCGAAGAAGTGGGAAAGGGTGTGGCTCTGGATTCTGGGCTCTGCCAGCTCCAGAGCAGTCACTCTTTGCTCTGATCTTCTAGTGCCCTACCTATGCTTCCTTAGCCCTTGTGAGAATGGTGCTACCTGCAAGGACCTCAGTGGGGCCTATGCTTGCATATGCCCTATAGGTTATGTAGGGAAGCACTGCCAGTTTGGTAAGGGCCTTACACTGCCCCTTCCAGATGGGGCCTCAGGGTGCATCTGCAGGCCCTGCTTACCCCCTCATCTTTCCCCAGAGGTTGACTGCGGCATCCCCAGTGAGGTGAAGCATGCCCAAGCCACTTTCAACTCCACCAAAGTGGGCTCACTGGCTGAATACCAGTGTGAGCAGGGCTACAGTCTCAGTCAGCACAACCACCCCCGCATCTGCCGCCTGCCAGGTGTATGGAGCGACCCCCCTGAATGCGATGGTGAGGAGTGCAAGGGAGCGGCCGAGTCCTGGGGCACCATCCCAGTGGGCTGTGGTCACAACCATGGCTAGGTGACCCCAGGACATATACTTCAGTCCTCCCCTGTCCATGTCTGCGGACAGAGGCCCCCTGGGGACTCCTGCCTGGTGCTCACATCTCTCGCCTTGTCTCTCACCTGCTGAAATGCCTGTAGAAATCAACGAGTGCTGGTCCCAACCCTGCCTGAATGGTGGCCAGTGCAAGGACCGTATTGCTGAGTTTCTGTGCTTGTGTGAGCCAGGTTACACCGGTCGCCACTGTGAGTCAGGTAAGAGACTGTGCCATGTGTGTTCCAGGGCTGGTGGAGGCCACTATAGCAAACCTTTACTTGCCCTGAGGGAATGACAGTGGGTGCAAACCCCCACAGCCAGGATTTGAGCTGCCTGTGGCTGCGTGGACTGGCTTCAGTCTGCTATCTGTGCACTCAGATCAGTCTGTGGTGAGGCCTCCTATCCCAGAGCCTCTGCCCAGCTTTGTGATGCACCAGCGGGCAGATGCTGCTCCCAGTTGGATGGAGGAGCAGATGGGGTGGTGAGGCACATGTGCTACTTGTGCCCCCTGCTAATGGACACTGTATAGGCATCTCTGTTACTGATGGGATAATGACTTCTGGTGAGTGTTAAGCCCATACAGAGAAGCCCCAGATCTTGGCATCTGGGTGGGAAGTGCCTTTGCACAACACCTAAAAGGTGGGGTAAAGCAGCTTGAGGTTGCACGTTTTTGACTGCACTGTGTTCTTGCTCCCGTATGTGTGCATGTGGTAGTGATTTTGCACAGGTACTGTTTGAAGGGGATGATGGGCAGCATGGGGGCTCTAGCCCAAGCCCTGGGTGGGCCTGGCAGACAATGGTGGTAGGAGAAGGTGGGATGCCTACCAGGGATTAGAGGAGGGGATGTGCCATAGGCACCCTATGGGACCTTTTGGCACAGCCCCACACTGTCAGCCATCCCCAGGTGTCCCTGTGGGCCTGTCCCCATGCCCAGCTCTCACTGTGGCCCTCTCACAGGAGCCAGTGTGGGGCAGTGATCTCTTGATGGCCTCAGTAGCAGGGCTGTTCGTAGCTGGTGGACTTGGGGACAGCAAGTGATGTGGGGGCAGTTTGTCCTCTGTGGGAGAAGCGCTGCCATTCTAAGCCCTCTCCCATGCCACTGGCCTCATTGATCTGCTGAGCTGTCACCTCTCCTACCACTCCCTAGATGTTGACAACTGCCAGTCAGAGCCCTGTAAGAATGGTGGGACCTGCCAGAATCTCCCCGGGTCCTTTGCTTGCTACTGTCCTAAGGGCTTTGTGGGGACCCAGTGTGAGACAGGTAGGAACTTGCTTTTCTTAGGGTGGTGGGAAGCTGGATTGTGGGCACCGGTATGTGGCCAGGACCAGCACCCAAACCAGGCTGCTGGTTGTCATCTTGGGCACCCTGACCCTGAGCCATTGCTCCAGATACTCCCTGCCTGTTGCACCTCCTTGCCTGTGGTTTTGGGGAGAGAGCTAAAAGTGCTCTTGTGGGAAGGGAGCAAGGAACAAGGTGTCTATCGGTGCCAGGTCTCTTCTGGAAGTTGTCCAACTCCTGCTAGGGGATGTGGCCAAACCAATACTTGGATGGGATTCTGGGTCCAGACAGGCTGTGCTGAGCCCTGAGCTGCATGTCCATCCTCCTGCCCCCTTGGGGTCCCCTGCTCACTGCTGGCCTCCTCCCACCTCCAGAAGTGGATGCCTGTGAGTCGGGTCCTTGCCAAAACGGAGGGGA